TTTAAAACAATAATTCATTCTCTTAGCTTAATGTTGTGACATTTCATGTCTCGTTTTAACCCATCTGTTCTTTAAAAACCCTTTCCACATTTTTCACATATTTGTTTTTCCTAGTTTTTTTGAATTAACATATATCTTTTTAAATGTGACGATCTTCAAAGCTACATATTTTTGAAATACTGGAAAATTTGTTGCTAGACAATATTTTTAATTTCTGATTTATTTTCGGATTCAATTTAAATAAAAATTTTTTTTGGATTCTCACATCTTAATAAGGCAACGTAAGGATAAAATGGAGTACATCGAAGGAATGTAAGGCTTTAAAAAGCCTGGCAATGATTACGTGCTTAAAGAATTAGCTATTCTACCGCTCCATCCGAACGATGCTGAAGTACAAATGTATCTTTTCAAAGCACCCTTTGCTTGGCGTAAATTATCACAGAAATATAAAGATCAAAATTCATATCTTAAACATAACTATCATGGACTAGCCTGGAATTCAGGCAATATAAAGTAAACCGATTGGTTAAGGTTAAAAAAAAAAATTCTAAGAAAGTAAAATTACCTTTAAGAGCTTCAACAAATGTAGATTAAATAAAATTCTCTAAGAGTTAAAAAATTTGTTTCTTTAATATTATTTCAAAATACTATTGGAAAATTAATATTTACGTTATCACATGTTTTATCAACTCCTTTGTGAGTCACGTATTCTGCTGTTGTTAAGTAATTTTCAGCCTGCATTGAGAAATACACGAGTAATGTCATTATTTTGTCTACTCAATCTGTTAGTGGGGGGTTGGCGCGCGGAGCGTGAAGGGAGGCGTTAGCCCCACTAGTATATATATATACACTAATGGGGCTGACGCCCCCCTGCGCGCTCCGCGCGCCAACCCCACCCCCCTAACATGTATATGAATTTTCCAATAGAATTCTTAAATAATATCAGAAAAAGTCTTTCACCACACGAATTAAAATTAAAAATAAATGCTATAGTAATGTTAATAAGAAATTTAAGTACATCGGACAGTCTCCGTTATGGCACAAGATTAGAAGTAACAAAATCATCTAAGTATAATATAGAAGCAGAAATAATAACGCGAGAAAAAAAAGGAAGCAAAGTTTATATTCCTAGAATAACATTGAATACTGGCACTTTATCATCATTACCTTTGGTCTTCTATAGAAAACAGTTTCTCTTTGTATTAGAATTGTATATGTTTATCAACAAATCACAAGGACACAGTTATGATTCCTTTGGATTGTATTTTAAAAAACCTTTATCCTCCCACGGACATCTATACGTTGCTTTATCAAGATGTAAGAATCCAAAAAGAGTTTTTATTCAAATTGAATCCAAGAATAAATCAGAAATTAAAAGCATTGTTTAGCAAAAAAATTTTCATTTATTTAAAAATATGTAACTTTAAAAATCGTCACATTTAAAAAGACGTATGTTAATTCATAAAAACTAGGAAAAACAAATATGTGAAAAATGTGGAAAGGGTTTTAAAAGAACATATGGGTTAAAACGACACATGAAATGTCACAACATTAGGCTTACAGAATGAATTATTGTTTCAAAAGCTAAATTGTGTTTGTCTATTTAATTATACCTCCTCCTGCATTCTGTCTTTTTGTTAATAAAGTCCTCAGGTAATCAATAATTTTATATTTGGGTAAAGTAAACGTGGACCAGAAAGAGATTTGAAATGTAAAAGTTCAATCAAGTTAAACAAATAAGGGTTCTTAAGAGACATATAGCGAGTAATGGGGAGAGAATAGACAGAGTGGGACCTATGATCAGTGACTTGAAAAACCCTAAAAACGAGGTATAACTTAGATACTAAATTACATATATTTTTTAACATTTCAGATGGTAAAATTTTCTATAAATAAGTATTTTTTGGGGGGGAGNAATTTGATCAAAAATGACGTAAAAACAAGCAAATAACTACGTGAATAGAGGGGGAGCAGTGGGGGAGGGGGGGGGCTGAGACTCACTTTCGTTAATACAACTATATAATAAAGGGAGATATATGTATGTGTATATATATATATCTCTCCTGTCTCGAATCTTTCGATGCGTACAAGAAAAAGCTAGGTAGACGATAACTTTCTCATCACCAGTTATAGCGTCCACACAGAGCCTTATTACAATCCCAGCTTGGTACCACCTAGGCAACTCACATAGGCCCCAGCTAACTAGCTTGGGAGCCCTGCTAACTGTCTGATCGGGTATAGAAGAATGAGCAAGGGAACTGATTCTGGTAAATGATAAACAAATTTTTTTACAAATATTTTAACAAAATACTTTTTGCGTATTGTATTATTCGTTTCTCGTTTTTATTAACCAAATGAACTATTTTATACTCAATAATCATCACTTTTAATAAACCTTTAGAATTATAATTCGGTTGAAAAAATAAAAATTAATCCTTTCTGGCTGATGGGTTCCCGAGCTTTTCATACATGATAAATCTACAGGAAAGACATATACGAGGATGTATACCACCGTAATCCTAGATAAAAAAGACATTGAACTTACAGGTATTAACAAACCTTGTATTTTACAGTGTACATTTGTAATTTCTACATAGGTACATGCGAGAATTTCGTTCTTATCGGGATCTCCGCGTCCGACACACTGGTCTCAATAAATAAATGCATTTTCTTAAAAAGTTAATACTTTTTCACTGAAAAATTTTGGTGGTTTTGTGCTCATGACAGCCATATTTTTACTGAGTTTCAGAGCTGCAAAAAAATTTCTAACGGAGTAACAAAATTATTAAATTTTTTATTTTTTTGACGTTATATCTCGATTATTGTAAGCAATTACGAATTGTGTTTAATAATTTAGATCACAAACTGTTTTTTCTAAAAAATCGACAAATAGCATACCACTTAATATAGCTTTTGTTGATCGGCGTAAAGATATCACTAAAAAACACGATTTTTTCACATTTTTTGCATAAAATTGTTAATTAAAAAATGATTTCTATAATTTTAATAGATGGTTTTCAGAAGATATATTCCTTATTGTCAAGTACATACAACAAGCCATGTAATACTGCAATAAATTTCATCTTGCGGTTTTGCTTATTCTATGGCCTAATATTGTTTTAACTGAAGTTGTTGCAAGATTAGAAAAGCACTTTTTCCTGGTTTCTTAAATTTTGCAATAACAATTGTGAGTAGATTTTAATTCTGTAGCTGCCATTTTGAAGACATTTTTAATACCTATAATTTGTTAACTGAAACATTTTTTTATTTATTTGTAGACGCGGTTGGTTGTAAGGACGTTCATCACAGCTAGAGGAGAAATGTAGTGATAGTCAGGGTGACAGAGCATTAGAGGGTGGTGATCCTTTATAACAATACGATATTTAGCTTAAAATGTAAAAAAAAATCCGTAGAGTAACACCCTAAATCATCGACTTTGACAGAGATACGCGTCATTGTTTTTTATTGCAAGATAACTTGAAAAATGGCTTTTTTCTAGTTTTTATGAAATATCTCGCAAAATTTTGGTTTTGGACCAAAATGTTGAACACAAAAGTTGTTTATCTGACATTTTACATGAGAATTACGTGTTAAAAAAAATTAGAAATTTTTTTGTATTGTTTACACCAGCAAGAAAGCCGAAAACGCAAAAAATTTTAGAAGCATGAAAATACATGTTGCAATATTCAAAATTGAATGAAAATTGAACATTTTATAGAAATTAGTAAGGCTGCGTATACATGGAGTCTTGAACTTCCAGTACCAGCCCATATGCCCGTGTAAGTGCGAGAAAGAGAGTAATATGTTCTTGCTTTTCACTCGCACTCACACGGGCTTATGGCTGGTCCTATATATGGAAGTTCAAGACTTCATGTATACGCAGCCTAAGTATGTTTTTTATTGAACGCCAAGTTCGATCACGAAATTTCAAAATGGCGGCCTACTGTAAAATTGTTAATTAAAAATTTCGATAGTGTATAAAATGTGTCGACATATAATTTTTTGGAATCAGTGAGGAATAACATTATCTTTACAACCATGGAAATTGGATTTTTTAAATAAACAAATAAAAAAGTTATTAACAAAAAACCAAAAATACAAGGCCATGTTTTCTGTAATTTTCAACTTAGACAAAAACAACTTAGAGCAAATGATTACGGTTATGTTTATATGAATTGAAAAAAAAAGTTGCTATAGGACCAATAGAAGCTAAGATACAATACTTTCAGTTTTTTACGCATTCCGGCAGTCATATTTGATTTTTAGACTCCGGAACAGCACGGTTTTTTTGCCAAATGTTTATTGTACCATACAAAAATTTTTTTCCATTAATTTGGTCAATTTTTTTGCATGTAACGACTAATTAAAATTGTAAAAAATGGCGGTGCAGTGAGGGAGGAGCGAGCATGCGGCAGCACCGGTAACTGTTTCCCATGCGTTTGTACACCTACATATAGGCGTCTGGTACTGTTTTTTTTATTTCATTGCAAAAATAACTTGTCGATCCCTTTGAAAATTGAATATAATACCAGTATTATGGTATTGCGCCATGCAAAAAAAATTGGACGAATTCTACCAACCATTTACTCATAAATTCCATTTTTATGTGACTCTTCCATAAGGTACCCTTACGTGTTAAATTGAAGTTTTTTCAACATTTAATATCTAAAAAACGGTGTTGTGAAACGGTTTCAAATTTTACATGTGACTTTTTGACATCATTACGAATATGCTGTTGAAATTTCAGGAAGATTCTACCCAAAACGCTATGTGTAATGAACGCCCTTGAGAATAAAATGAAAAAAATCGATCGTCGTTATCTTTAGACGGCTGCCATTTTCTTTTTCGAAAAATTATAGCGTGTGGAAACATTTCATTTTTTTTTTTAATGCTTCTCTCCTAGATTCGGCAATAAAATAACTGATGGCAGGCAAAAGGTCGTCTCATAGTCTACTTATTGGTTTCCCTGGTAACATCAGCATCAAAACAGTACGAAGTAATGTAATCTTAAATTCACGTTTACTATTATTAAAAAGTCAATAAATACACAAGTTAATGTTAGGTTGAAGTTACTTTTTAATTATTTTTAATTATTTAATTTTTATGGATTAAAATACATTCCTCTACAGTTCTTGGAAATTATCTTGTGATATTATGCTGGCTGATGTAACGTGGGTGGACAGGGTTCAGGAAAAAACTGAAAAATGGTAAGTAGATGATGGAAAAATAAAAAATTTTTTTAAAATAAAGAAATTTCAATTATGAAAAGAAATGAATTAAAATATCTATTTCTACTTTGGCTAACTGATTAAACCAGTAAAATTTTTTTAGCATATATGATCTTTGTTATAATCCAAGTGGAACTCAATTGATTGTAGCTGCTGGACATAATGTTTTAATTTATGAAAGTAATGATGGTGCATTGGTTCAGTTATTAAAAGGTAAATTATATGAACTTGTTTTTGCATGTGGACAAAGAAATTTTGTAAAATTAATTTTTTTAGGTCACAAAGATGTTGTTTACTGTGTATGCTATGCAAAAGATGGTAAAAAGTTTGCCTCAGGAAGCGCAGATAAGACAGTTATTATTTGGACTTCTAAATTAATAGGACTTTTGAGATATTCGTATGCAAACATGTTTTTTTTTTTTATTTTATGAGGTTGATTTTTTGACGATGTATTACTTTGATTAAATATGTATTTTAGCCATAATGAATCTATACAAACCATGCACTTCAATCCATTATCTCATCAACTTCTTAGTTGCTCGATTTCTGATTTTGCATTATGGTCAGCTGAACAAAAAGCTGTTCAAAAATTTAAATGTGGTGGAAGAGTTAATTGCTGTGCTTGGACTAGGGATGGTCAGTTCATGGCCCTGGGCCTGGCAGCTGGTTTTGTTTCAATCAGAAACAAGGTCACTTAAAAGATCTTAAACTGAATTTTTTTGTTAATTATCTTGTCACTGATAAATGTATGTTGTAGACCGGAGAAGAACAATTACGTATTGAAAGCTTAAGAGAGTCTCCTATATGGAGCTTGGCTTGGAGTCCTATAAGGTATTGAAAATTTAATTATCAATTTGTTGTCATACACAGATATCTTTATACAAATGTTCATTAGAAACAACGATGGTATACAGATTTTCACAATGAAAAACTATATGTATTGTTATTTTTAATGTTTAGTTGAGGAAGATATATTACTTTACATGAAATAAGTCTTCATACTACATTGTTTTTTTATGTAGAATGGACTCTACAGATATTATATGTATTGGAGAATGGAGTGGAAAATTATCATTTTATTCTTTAAGTGGAAAATTGATTGGAAAAGAGAGAAATTTTAATTTCATTCCTTTGAAAATCACATACTTTCCTAATGGCCTATATATTGCAGTCTGTGGAAGCAATAAGAGGTGCATTTTATTATCTAATGATGGGATTCAGTTAGCCACAATAGGAAACACTTGTACATCATGGACTTGGAGTTGTGATGTCCACCCCGAATTAATGCACATTGTGAGTGTATTGAAAAACTTCTTAAGTAAGATATTTATTAGAAGTTGCTTGTAAATTAATAAGGTGATTTAAATAATTTTTTTAGGCTATTGGTTGTCAAGATGGAAGTATTATAAATTTTGAATTGAGATGGAATGTTATTCATGGATTGTACAAGGACAAATATGCATATCGAGAAAATATGACAGATGTTATAATTCAAAATCTGGAAACAAATCAAAAAGTTCGAATTAAGTGTAAAGAACTTGTGCGTTTTAATTTTGTTAAAAACGAACAAATTCGTCACTTTTCAAAATGTTCATTATTATTTATATGTTTAGATTAAAAAAATTGCTTTCTACCGGGATAGGCTAGCTGTGCAGTTACCAGAACGAGTAATGATTTATGAGCCATCTGGAAGTTCCGAAGATATGCATTATAGAGTCAGGGAAAAATTACTTCAATTTCTTGAATGCAGTCTGCTCGTAATGACGAATAATTTGATTCTCTATTTTGAAAAGCGTCTACAAAGTATATCTTTTGGAGGTTCAGTTAAAAGAGAGTGGATTTTAGATAGCTCGATTTGCTGTGTCAAGGTGACAGGTGGTCCAATAGGACAGGAGCGTTTGCTAGCCGGCTTAAAAAATGGCCAGGTTGTAGAAATTTACTTGGACAGTCCGTTCCCGATATTTCTAGCCCAAGTGCACGGTGCTGTACAATGCATTGATATGAGTCTGATGAAAGAAAAACTAGCTGTGGTTAGTGATCAAGGAGTGCTTTCAGTCTTCGACATTCATAATAACAAGAAACTTATTGAATTTAGAGACGTTGACAGTGTAGTCTTTAACAGTACTTTTGAAGAAATGTTGTGTTTTTCTGGGCCAAACTATCTTGCTGTTAAAATTGCTAAGTTTGTGGAGTTTCGACAATTTTCTGGCACAATCATTGGTTTAAATGGCTCGAAACTACACTGTCTGCAGGGATCATCAACTTTAACTATTGAGGTAAGTAAATCAATAATGTCAAATAAATTCTGGTCCTACAGTGTGCTGCATACTTAGAGAATGTAGGTATACTAAGTGTGCACATGTCATCGACTTAAGGTACTTTAAAAGACTATGCCTACTTATAAAAGAATACTCCAGGTCGTAACCTGGAAGTCGTTAGAAAAAAAATTTGAATTTAATTCTTTTGCATGATCTTGTACAAACTGACACAAACAAAAATCTGTATTTAACGTCATCGAAAAATATATAAGGTTCGTTCAAGCCCCTTTTGGTTCGGTTCGGTTCTCTTAACAAATTATACCTACATATACAAAACCAGTTCTATTTGGTTCCCTATATATATAGGTATATTTTATTAAGAGAACCGAACCGTACCAAAAGGGGCTTGAACAAATCTTTCATGTATAAAAGGTCGAGCTGGAACTATTGGGATTACAAAAGGTCACGTGACTCTCACGGTATATATAGTCGGTTGGGAGGAAAAACACATAGAGGTATAAGCACGCAAGTGGGCGATTTGCGCGTGATTAGCTGAGAGAAAGAAAACTGCATAAGGGGAATTCTGTCTCTCTCTGACCGTCTGCTCTACCTTGCGTGATCGGGAGAGCAGGAGAGAGAGTCGACCAATCACAGCGCTCGGCTAGACAAGGACACGATTTCTCTTATGCGCAGCTATCTCTCTCTACGCTGATCTCGCTGCCACTTACAGGCTGACATACAGTGACATACCGCTTACGTGCTCGTGTTATTCTTTTACCTCAATGGAAAAACAATACAGGCCTAATGGGTGGAATTCTATTTTAATTTTTTTAACACGTTCAACGATTGTAATGCGATAAAAGCCTTTCAATAACATATTTTTGAGGAGATGACAATACCTAAGCTATTTTCTCCCAACTTAATTAGTTTTTTGCAGCTTAAAAATTTCCTTTGAAAGTACAAAAACGCACTTTTAACCTTACGAAAATTGTGCTTGTTTCCCTATATATAGTCAGAAACGGGAGAACTTTGTACAGGTAAAATGTGCGTTTTTGCATTTTCAGAGGAAAGTTTTAGGCTGCAAAAAACTAATAAAGTTAGGAAATGATAGCTAAGGTATTGTCATCTCTTCAAAAATCAATCGTTGAACGTGTGAAGAAAATAAATATTTTTCCCCCAAGAGACTATATACATCGCGAGAGTCACGTGACCTTTTAGGATCCCAATAGGCTTATTTTTACTTTCAACGAAAGTACAGTACCCTTGAGGGAGAAGGCGTTAGGGTTGACAGTAGTAATTATAGTGAACGACCAGCGTTGGGTGAAGAGCATTCCTGCAGTGAAAGTTACGGTCAGTTACATGAAATTTACTGTCACTAAAATAATAATCCATAGAAAGTTAGAGAAGCGAATAGGCAGAGAAGGAGGGGGCATTTCAGAGGTTCTCATCGGTGCTTCCAAATGTGACTACCCGATCGGAAAGTTAGCAGGGCTCCAAAAAGCTAGATAGTTAGCTGGGGCCTAGCTATGTGAGTTGCCTAGGTCGTACCAAGCTAGGATTGTAATGGGGCTCTGTGTGGGCGCTAACTGGTGATAAGAAAGTTCTCGTCTACCTACCTTTTCCTAGTACGCATCGAGAGATTCAAGAGTGGAGAGGTATATAATATATATATGTATATTTGGGGACAGCTGTATAACTGTGTACATTGCAGATTGCATGTGTATGTTAAAAAGCAAAGCAGTAATTACTCATATAAAGTATTAAATACGATGATTTACTCAAGTTTCATTATTTTAATAAATTACTACGGGTGACAAAGAATAGCGTTCATTGTTGTTAAATTTAAGAAGAGATCGAGAGTATATAAAATTTTGAAAAGTGGAATAATCAATGAAGTGGAAGTATTTGATAATGAGAAAGATTTGCAAATAAATTATGCTAATGAATGTCATTACGAATTAGACTTAGATGCATCGCCTACATTAATTATTAAATTTTATTTTCAAATCGCTCTTTATTTTTCTAACCCTGTCCTTAATAGGTTCATTGGGATGCCAATATTGGCCCCTCATAATCCCCCATTACACTGCGCTATCTACCTCTATGTATTTGACCTGGTTGGACCTACATAGGTAACTGGGTGACCAATGTAGGTGAAGTCTGGTGAAGCCCTCTTAAGCTTTCTGATCGAGTAGCAAACTTAAGAAATTAAAATTGAAATTTCGGAAAATAATGCAAGCGCCAATCCCCACACAACCCGGGACGTTTACTGGTCGCTTACTTAATAAACAATAAATAAAATAATAAGGCAATCACCGATCCCCGTGAAGCCCGGGCCGCTTAATGGTCGTTTTAATTATAAGTAATAAATAAAAAAGGCAAGCGCCAATCCTCACACAATTCGAAGCGCTTCCGAGTTGCTTTAATTATTAGATATAAATAGGAAAAAAGGCAAGCGCCAATCTACGCACAATCCAGGGTGCTTACTGGTCACTTCAATTATTAGTAATAAATAAAAAAAAGGCAAGCGCCAATCCCCGCACAACCCGGGATACTTACTGGTCACTTACTTAATTAACAAAAAGAAAATAATAAAGCAAGTGCCAATCTGTGCACAACCTGAGACGCTTACTAATCGCTTAAATTATTGGTAAGAAATAAAAATATAAGGCAAGCGCCAATCCCTGCACACTCTGGCGCGGTTCTTATTAAAAAGCATCGAATAATAATTCAAGCGCGAATTAAGAGCAACCAGCAGTAGGCAGTAAGCGCCCCATGCTATACGGAGATTGGCGCTTGCCTTATTATTTTAATCATTGTAATTAAATAAGCGACTAGTAGAACAGTAGCGTACGAGCGGTCGTCACATATACGCGCTAATGTACTATTTCAATCAACTGTGTAGTAAGATACTAAATAAAGTTAATACTTATATTTCTCACCTAATAATTATCTTGTTATTTATCAATTCACCTCACTTACTCTGATTCGGATTATCCCGAGATATAACAACTACTAATAATCAACGCAGCTTGACAGTATTCCTGGTTCTGTGGGGATTTGCGCTTGCCTTATCTTACTAATATATAAAGCAGAAGCGCTAAAACCGTTGTAATCGCTAACCGCGAAAACTACTGAACCGATTTTGTTGAAATTTTGCACACTGATTCATGATACTTCCTAGATGGTTTTAGCATAGTTTTTATCTTGAAAAATTTAATAACAATAGCAATAAATGAGCTCAAAGTTTTGCAAAAAATGCCAGCTTTTCTCTTTAGTTCAGTAAAATCCGCTAGGTGGCGTCGACATAAAATCGAAGCTACCTGCAACATAATTAAATAAGTGTGGTTATAATAGGCTGGAGCGTCTCCATAATGTTGTAGTCGAGTTTCGGCAACTCAACGAGCTGAATAGAGAATGCTTATGATAGTCTTGCAGCTGGGTATCCCGGTTACGGACGACACTCTTCTCTAAGGGGGAAGGGACCTACGTGTCCATTCACCCTGAATCTCGATTAGTGCGATAAAAAAAAAATATTAATTTCAACCGATGCCGTCTCTGCCACAATACCAGGAGACATATCTAGCCAGAGCACAATCTGGTTCAACTCATCAGAGTTGTGAGGGAGTAGTCCCACCATCCCACCTGGTGCAGTTAAAGAATTTGTGGCTACAAATGTAAGCAAGGGAAAACAGCTCTGAGCTCTGAGGGGCATGGGCAGCCACAACGGCTACCTTCTTGGTCGTCGCGTACCCAATGCGCTTACCCACATATTCCCGTCTAACGATGAGCGGTTGGTTGTCCGGGGAACGACCCGAGACGAGATATTGTTTGGTCAGCAGCATACCTTCCTCCATCACAGTCTCTGTACATCGGGACTCCCAGGGTAAGAATCAAGCAACTGTAGCCAGCTCTTCATCATCAGGAACAATAATAAAGAATAGCCTGGAAGTTTCACCACTGGCGCTTTTTAGGGCCATTATAAGTATTTACGTTCCCTACTTAACCATCAATTTCATCGGTTCTTTTTAGGATCCACCTAAGTGTAAACTACCTTGCCAACAAATACATTTTTATTACAATTTCCGGAAGCGATTCGTCGACTAAAAGACTATGTTAACTAAAGACGGGCACTATTAAACCAAGTCAGCCATTCACTAGCAGACGTCACCTGCGGAGTTGTTCTTCGCAAGGCTGGAAAACCTGGTTACCGACGACCCTATACTACCCTCTCGACTCTAAGCATTCAACCAGGAATCACTGATCCTCTCCAATGTCTGCGTTGGGCAAACCTACAACAGCTATGGAGGAAAAAAAACTTGAGCCAACGGGACACCCTCCACTGGACAAGTATCACTAACCAATCTCCCCATCT